GGAGGCCGAGGCAGGTGGATCACGAGGCCAAGAGATCGAGACCATCCTGGTCAACACGGTGAAACCCCGTCTCTACAAAAAATACAAAAAAATTAGCTGGGCATGGTGGCGCGTGCCTGTAATCCCAGCTACTCGGGAGGCTGAGGCAGGAGAACTGCTTGAACCCGGGAGGCAAAGGTTGCAGTGAGCCGAGATCACACCATTGCACTCCAGCCTGGGCAACAGAGTGAGACTTCGTCTAAAAAAAAAAACAAAAAACAAAAATTAGCTGGGCATGGTGGCACACGCCTGTAGTCCCAGCTACTCGGGAGGCTGAGGCAGGAGAATTGCCTGAACCCAGGAGGCGGAGGTTGCGGTGAGCCAAGATCACACCATTGCACTCCAGCCTGGGTAACAAGAGCGAAACTCCATCTCAAAACAAAACAAAACAAAACAAAAACTAAGAATTGGGTTTATGTAACAGTGGTGTTATTGTCACTTTCGTAAACTGCTCTTCATCCATCCCTAATTATAGTGCAGCTTCATAACAATTATATCATTACATTTACATTTTGTTTGACTTCAATACCAACTGCCATTTTCTTAACTTTCAGAGCTCACTGCAAGTTTTGGGGCCACCTGCTCACGTGGCCCGCCATTCGTCTCGGTCACTCAGCCAACACATCAGCGCCCTCATGTGGAGGGCTCCATGCTAGCTTCTGTGAAGACTGGCGAAGACTGGCGGCTGCTTGTCCCAGTAACAAACTTGTAAATAAAATAAGCACTTTATAATACAGCATGTTCCGAGTTAGAAACACAAGTAAAGAGATCAGGAAATCAGTGCCTCTGCAGGGAATCTGACAAAGTCATGGAGAGGTGCCATCTGAACTGGGCTTTGAGGAATGAATAGGAGTTTTCCAAGGGGAGGGACAAGGGGGACGAATCACGATGGGCAGAAACTCCAAATGAAAGCAGGTGTGCCTGGGGTTGGCGAGGTGCCCCCTGTGGAAGGAGCATAGGATCTGGAAGATGGGGTCACAGAACCTGGAGCTAAGGAAGTTGGCTGAGGCCAAATCTTGAAGGCCCTTGCACACCAAGGTGGGGATTTCATCCTGGAGGTGGGAAGAGGAGTAGCTTTGATTTGGGAGAGAAAAGCTCTAGAGATAGTGTAAAAGGCAGCTTGGAGTTTAAAAAAATGTTAAATTCCGTTTTAAGAAAATAAGAGAAGATAAAATAATATTTCATGAACTTCTCTCCATCTTAATAAATACGTTTCAACAAAACTTCTAGATTACGCAAAGTAACACTATAATGTTTAACCAAAGTGTCACGTGGGAGATTTTAGGTTATTTGTGTTTCGTTTTGTCTTTTTCATCTATTGGTTGTTATAAACAGGCACAGATGCTTAATTATTCCTTAAGGTAAACCACTAATGAAACTGCTGAATTAAAGGTATGTACATTTTTCAGGCTTTAAATGAATGAGTTAAATTGTCCTCCAGAAAGGCTGCACCAATTTCATTCCCACTAGGAGTGTCTGAGATGCCCCTTCGCCCAGCACCCAGCATAGATCGGTACGAGACGCACGGTAAGCACTATCTCACTGTATTAATTGACCTGTTTCTGCTGAAGTCAAACCTTCTTTCTCACGGTGGGGTGGTGGCGGGAGGAGAGGACGCTTGTGTTTCTTCTTTTGTGAACTGCCTGCTGCAATTTATTCATTTTTCTGCTGGTGTGTCTGCCTTTTTTCCCTGCTCTCTAAGAGTTCTCTGTATAGTAAAGGCATCCTGTTGTTGCTCTGTGAGGTGTAAGTCACTTTCAGTTTGTTATTTCTGCACGTCTAACTTTAATCCCTGGGAGAAGAAACAGATTTGAATCCTCCATGGCACACAGCTCAGTCTCTCTTCTGCGGCAGGTACTCAACAGATGTGCCAAGATGAGTGGGTTATTTTTGTCCAAGCTACTTTATGAAACCCATTCTGCCCTACTCCAGAAATGAAGGGACCAGTCGAACATTCACACTCCCCTTGCTCACAGCAATGTCAATGTTGTCTCCTTGTTCTTTCATTCATCCAACAAATGTTTCCTGAGCCCCTGATATGTGCCAGGTGCCATTCTGGGCACGAGGGTTACCATAATGGGCAAAATCTTTCATTGTAGTTGAGGGACTCAGATAATATGTATGATGTTCAATCGTGATCAGCGCTATAATGTACATCAAAATACAGAAGGGGAGGCCAGTGGCTCACGCCTCTAAAACCAGCACTTTGGGAGGCCGAGGCAGGTGGATCATAAGGCCAGGAGCTCGAGACCAGCCTGGACAACATAGTGAAACCCCATCTCTGCTAAAAATACAAAAAATTAGCTGGGCACGGTGGTGCACGCCTGTAATCCCAGCTACTCAGGAGGCTGAGACATGAGAATTGCTTGAACCAAGGAGGCGGAAGTTGCAGTGAACCAAGATCGTGCCATTGCACTCCAGCCAGGGTGACAGAGCGAGACTCCATCTCAAAAATAACAATAATAATAATACAGGAGGGGAGACTGAATCTGTAAGCTGTAAGGTCATGGTAGACCTCACTGAGAAGGGAAATGAAGGTGGGGGTGGAGGGTTGGCCAAGGGGACACCCAGAGGAGGAGGCTTCTGAGCAGACTGAATGATGTGCAGAAAGGTCCCAAGGCAAGAGCAGGCTCGGTGCATTCAAGGACAAGAAGGGCTGCAGTACAGAGAGCAAACCAAGTGGGCGGGAGGGTGCAGGTCACGCACGGCTCTGCAGCCCTTATCGGAACTCTGCTTTTCCTCTGAGTGAAATGGGAGGATTGGGGCAAAGATGTGGTGTGGTCTGCCTTATGTTGCAGAAGGACAGCCCTGGCTGACACACTGGGGCTAGACTGGGGCGGAGGCAGAGGTGGAAACAGGGAGACTGGCAGTAGTCCAGGTGAGAGATGCCGGCATCGTGGACCATCTCAGTGGCAGCAGCGGGGATGCTGAGGAGGGACCACATTCTGGGCACAGTGTGATGGCAGTCGAGCCAGCAGAATTTCCCAGTGCAAAATGTGAGAGAAAGAGAGGAATATAGAACAGTGCCGAGGATGTCGGCTTGAGCAAGTGAAGGGTGCAACTGACATTAACTGAGAGGGCGAAGATGCAGGTGGGGCAGGTGCAGAGGAAAAGATCAGAACTTCGAGTTCAGAAAAGTGGAGGCCGGCCCGGCACGGTGGCTCACACCCGTAATCCCAGCACTTTGGGAGGCTGAGGTGGGTGGATCACGAAGTCAGGAGCTCAAGACCAGCCTGGCCAAGATGGTGAAACCGTCTCTATTAAAAATACAAAAAAAAAAAAAAAATAGCTGGGCATGGTGGCGGGCACCTGTAATCCCAGGAGGCTGAGGCAGAGAATTGTTTGAACTCAGGAGGCAGAAGCTGCAGTGAGCCAAGATTGCGCCACTGCACTCTAGCTTGGACGACAGAGGGAGACTCTGTCTCAAAAAAAAAAAAAAGAAAAAAGAAAAGAAAGAAATGGTGACTGTAAGGTATGTATTTATTAACATCCAAGTGGAGAGAGTGAGTAAAAATTCAATACACAGTATACACTAATAATAGCTGTGTATAAGGCTGGGCACAGTGGCTCATGCCTGTAATCCCAGCACTTTGGGAGGCTGAGGCGGGAGGATTCCTTGAACTCAGCAGATTGAGACAAAGCTGGGCAACATGGGAAAGCCCCGTCTCTACAGAAAAATACAAAAGTTAGCCAGGTGTGGTGCAACTCTGTGGTCCCAGCTACTCGGGAGGCTGAGGTGGGAGGATCACCCAAGCGTGGGAGGTCGAGGCTGCAGTGAGCTGTGGCAGCACCACTCCACTGCAGTTGGGTGACAGAGTGAGGCCCTGTCTCAATTTGAAAAAATAAATTGTTGGCCAGGTGCAGTGGCTCACGCCGGTAATCTCAGCACCTTGGGAGGCCAAGACAGGCGGATCACCTGAGGTCAAGAGTTTGAGACCAGCCTGACCAACATGGAGAAACGCCATCTCTACTAAAAGTAAAAAAAATTAGCTGGATGTGATGGTGCATGCCTGTAGTCCCAGCAACTCGGGCGGCTGAGGCAGGAGAACCACTTGAATCAGAGAGGCAGAGGTTGCCGTGACCCAAGATCATGCCACTGCACTCCATGCTGGGCAACAAGAGTGAAACTTCATCTCAAAAAATAATAATAAAATAAAATAAACTTGTGTATAAGAGGTGGGATTATAGACAACTTTTTCTTTCTCTTCTTCCTACTTCTTACTTTGCTTGGTCTTTGGAATTTTTAAAAATTTTGAAATCATAAGCAAGTTTTGCTTTTATTTCATTTTATCTTTATTCATTTATTTTTTGGGTCTCACCTTGTCACCGGAGTGCAGAGGCGTGATCTCAGCTGACTGCAATCTCCATCTCCCGGGTTCAAGTGATCCTCCCACCTCAGTCGCGAGAGTACCTGGGATACAGGTGTGCGCCATTACACCCAGCTAATTTGTGTATTTTTGTAGAGACAGAGTTTCACCATGTTACCCAGGCCAGTCTCAGACTCCTGAGCTCAAGCGATCCGCCCAGCTCAGCCTTCCAAAGTCCTGGGATTACAGGCATGAGCCACTGCACCTGGCCAAGTTTTATAATAAAAAGTAAACCACATTTAATTTTAAAACATAGTAACACGTACGTTATAAGACATGAGAGGAATAATCAAGTATCGCAGACTTTCTTTTGAATCTGCTTGTGTCCAGAACTTGAAATTCAGGTCAATTCCACAGTCTCTGCGTCCTTACCACAGGCTCGATGCCCTGCCAGCTCAAGGGATACTGAGGTGAACAGAGGTGGCCTCTGCCCTGCTGTCACTCACTGTTCCACTGGCTCCAGGCCAGTCTCACTAAATGCTTAATCAAAGTCCAAAGCAAGACCTGGGGCAGTGGAAGGAAGGAGGGAGCCATGAGCACATTCACAACCCCTAGACTGTAAAGATGGCGAGAGCACACAAGTCAACGGACAGCTGGGTCATACTGAGTGAAGGTTAAGGCAGGAAGCACGCAGATGGGTGATCAGGTCTCTCTTTACTGAAACACAGAACATGTGCCAAGGTGAGTCCAAGGACACCTCTGGGAACAGGTGAAGCCCCCCTCCCCACACATATACTCCACTATACGGGAGCTAGGGTCCTGTTACCACATCTGGGGTGAGGGGCTTGGGCCGGCTGCCCTTCATGAGAAACTTCTGGGTGCCTCTCCACACAGCAATGCAGCTCCAGTCTGCTGGTAGGGGCCCAGGCCGTGGGCAGCCCCCTCTTTTGGCATATGAAACATGCCTGGTTGCAGCTGATGTCCGCTAGCCTCTCCTGATGCGCAGTAAGGAGACTTGGAGGAGAGGCACGTGGGCGTGGAGTTCGCGGCGGACCTGGAGAGCAAGGGAGCCAGGCGGTCCTTTCAGACCATCTGCCCGTGAGCTCACCACAGGCAGAGGACAGGAAGGGACAGTGGGCAGAGCGCGTGAGGAGGACGGCAACCCTCCCCGGGCCTCCCACACGCTAGACTCAGGCTGGGGGCTTCACACACGATGTCATCAAAACTTCACAGCAACCTTATAAAGCAGGTGTTATGACCCTCATATTGTAAGGGACGAAAGTCGCAACGAATCACTCATCCAACGCCACACAGTTAGGAACTAGAATTCACACCCAGATCTGGCTGGTTCCAAAGTCCATTGTCCAATCCCTGAGCCCAAACTGTCAGCTGTCCCCAGACAAGAACTGACACCCAACCTCCACATGGCCTGGTGCCTGCGCCTCAGCTGCCGGGCCTGTTCCGGTGTCTTTCCGATTCCTGAAATCATTTCGGGGGTTCAGACCTGACATTCAAACCTGGCTTCCTGGCTGGGCACGGGGGCTCACACCCATAATCCCATCACTTTGGGAAGCCGAGGCAGGTGGATTTCCTGAAGTCAGGAGTTCAAGACCAGCCTGGCCAACATGGCAAGGCCCTGTCTCTACTAAAAATACAAAAATTAGCCAGGTGTGGTGGTGGGCGCCTCCAATCCCAGCTACTCAGGAGGCCAAGGCAGGACAATCACTTGAACCCAGGAGACAGAGGTTGCAGTGAGCCAAGATCACAGCATCGCACTTCAGCCCGGACGACAGAGCGAGACTGTCTCAAAGCAATAAATAAAAGGAAAGAAAACCGGCCTCCCTCTTCAACAGGGGTCCACACGTGCTCCTTTGGTTACTGTGTGCCGAGGCCACCTGGCATCAAACCCCCATGCCATGTTCAGGGAGCTCCTCCATGACAGTGGGAGTTATGATGGGCCTCACTGCTACAGAGAGAACGTCAGGGATGCCCATATCCCCTCTTCCCAGCCCCTGGCAACTGGGTGTGCACTATGGGAGCACAAGAGCTAAGCTCAGCCTATCGAATATTCCCACTCAGGACTGGCTCTGACAGGTGACCCCGAGACAAAAAGGCAGCAAGAACCCATGTGAAATCGTGTGCATGGGCAGCATGATGCCCGTCAGCTGTGGCAGCATCCAATAGTGACTGACTGGCAAGAATGACCATGTCCCAGCCAGCGTGTTCCCACCACCATCTGACCAGCAAGAGCGACCATGTCCCAGCCAGTGTGTTCCCGCCACCATCTGACCAGCAAGAGTGACCGTGTCCCAGCCAGTGTGTTCCCGCCACCATCTGACCAGCAAGAGTGACCGTGTCCCAGACAGCATGTTCCTGCCATCTGACCAGCAAGAGTGACTGTGTCCCAGCCAGCATGTTCCCACCATCTGACCAGCAAGAGTGACCGTGTCCCAGCCAGCGTGTTCCCGCCACCATCTGACCAGCAAGAGTGACCGTGTCCCAGCCAGCATGTTCCTGCCATCTGACCAGCAAGAGTGACTGTGTCCCAGCCAGCGTGTTCCCACCATCTGACCGGCAAGAGTGACCATTTCCCAGCCAGCGTGTTCCCGCCACCATCTGACCAGCAAGAGTGACCATGTCCCAGCCAGCGTGTTCCCGCCACCATCTGACCAGCAAGAGTGACCATGTCCCAGCCAGCGTGTTCCTGCCACCATCTGACCAGCAAGAGTGACCGTGTCCCAGCCAGCATGTTCCTGCCATCTGACCAGCAAGAGTGACCGTGTCCCAGCCAGCATGTTCCTGCCATCTGACCAGCAAGAGTGACCATGTCCCAGCCAGCGTGTTCCCACCATCTGACCAGCAAGAGTGACCGTGTCCCAGCCAGCATGTTCCTGCCATCTGACCAGCAAGAGTGACCGTGTCCCAGCCAGCATGTTCCTGCCATCTGACCAGCAAGAGTGACCATGTCCCAGCCAGCGTGTTCCCACCATCTGACCAGCAAGAGTGACCATGTCCCAGCCAGCGTGTTCCCACCATCTGACCAGCAAGAGTGACCGTGTCCCAGCCAGCGTGTTCCCGCCATCTGACCAGCAAGAGTGACCGTGTCCCAGCCAGCGTGTTCCCACCATCTGACCAGCAAGAGTGACCGTGTCCCAGCCAGCGTGTTCCCGCTGTCTGGCCCCAGAGCCCCTGGGGGTTCTCCTGCCTATGTCCCAAGCCTGCTGTCCTGGCATTCCTTTGATTCTATGCACTCAGACCCTGCCAACAAATCCCCCTTTTACTCATGACAGACAGAGGTCTTCCTTTGCCTGCAACAATGGGTCCCACTCTCAACGGACATATCTTGCTTCTGTCTGCTAAGGGCAATCATTTCACTGTCCAGCCTGGCTATGAATTCTGCACCTGGCATAAGACCCCCCCACAATATCTCTGCCAGGATTACCCTTGCAAGGGATGACAGTAAGCCTGAGCCACTGATAAGCACTGTAGCACCCATGGACTGTGAGAGGTGCTAAACGCAAGCTCTGGGTACTGCAAGGGCACCGTCAAAGAGGCCACCACGTTAGGCTCTATACTGGGCCTGTTTTCCGTGGTCACATCTGTGAGCAGAGCTCATGCTCCCTCTGCTGCTTTGTACCGCACAGTGGGAGAACCATCCATGCCTCAGAGAGGCCTCAGTGAAATCTGCACTGAGCTGGCCCGGTCTAACCCTCCAGCAAGCTGCACCATCCCCAGACGCCCTGACCCAGAATTTCACCCTTGGAAGTCCTGTCCCGCGGGTTTTAGGAGAATTTTTCTGACTTGTATAACTCCATCCCAATCTCCGTCCCCATCTGGAGTGTACATCTATGGGCTTTTTCTTCTGCTTCACCTCCCGCTTTCCTTGGGGCTCATCCTTCCTCTGTGGGACCCTGATTGGGTTGTCAGTCAGTTTTTTGGTTTGTTTTTTAATTGCTTTCTTCTTTTAGTGGGAAGCAGACACAGGGTGGGAGGCAGTGCGATACCTCCTGGTGAGAACCAGGATAAGTGGCCCTTCCAGGCTAAGGAGACCTTTCCTTCCCTGGGTGACATGAAAATTTGGGGAGGGAAGTGCTTCGTGAATCTAGGGCTAACAAGGCTGCCTTTTCATATGCATGAAGAAAGACTGAAGAATAAAGGGAGTACAGCTGAGGCAGGGAGAGAAAGAAAATCCCCACGGCCACATCTAAGCTGCAGGGTCCAGCCATAACTGAAGGTGGAAGAGACTCTTCCAGGTTTCTCAGAGCTTGCCTGTTTTTTGTATAAAATGCTATAACTTGGGTTTCTGCCACTTGCAACCAAGAGTCCTGCCTACCGTCCCTCCGTATCACTGACCATCTCCTCAGGGGCCAGAAGGCCAAGCTTCCAAGGACCGGAAGAAGTTGGGGTTGCGGGAGTCGCGTGTTCACATTGCAGAGGAGGAAATGAGGAGCTCGGAGAAGGCCGGCAGAAGCCAGCCAGGCAGGGGCCTCCTTCCCAAGCCTCCTTCTCTGTAAGAGCGAGCTCCCTTCCATGTGCAGTGGTTGCTCTTTTGTGCCCCGCAGACGTTTCCTGCACCCCTGCCAACCTCACACCTTCCTCTACTCACCTGCTGCATCAGCCTCTCTGCCACTCTGGGATTAGTGAGGTCTTCCAGGGAGGCCACACTCAGCCGCAGGAGGAGGAAACCTACATTTTCACCTGCAGATGGAGGACAGTAAGATGAAATCGGGGCCAGGTGTGGTGGCTCACGCCTGTTATCCCAGCTACTCAGGAGGCTCAGGTGGGAGGATCACCTGAGCCCTGGAGGTGGAGGTTGCAGTGAGCCGAGATCGTGCCAGGCTACTCAACTCCAGCCTGGGTGACAGAGTGAGACTGCCACTAAAAAAAAAAAAAAAGAAAAAGAAAAGAAAAGGAAGATGAAAATTGGTGGTGTCAGTTTAGGGATCAAGACACGCTTCATCCTGCCCAGCTTCCCCACCCTCACCGCTCACGTGGCATTCTCAGGCATAAATGCGTCTGTATTCCTACAGATTCTACATTTACTTTCTATAAAAAGAAAAGGATTCCTCTGGGACCATTAGGGCCACCACAGCATCCACCCAAGAAGAGGGAAAGAAATAGTGGCTTAGGGCACCGCTTACATTTATAGAATTCAAAAGAGCAGTGTGAGGAAGGGGAAACGAGCGTGGATCTAGAATGTTCTCAAAGCCAGGAGGTCCTAGACAGAGCTATGGGAAAAGAGCCCAGCCACGGAGGGTGCTGGAGAGAGGCTGGCTCTCTGAGGGGTGCCCTCGGCCAGGTTGAAGTTGGTGGGAGGCTGACGAGGTCCAAACCCGCTGTCCTGGACTAGCAGCTCTGCAGGAAACTTCGGCCACTGAGGCCTGATCCGCTCAGTTCCACCTGCCACCTTGAAGTCATTTCTTCCTATCACAATACTATTAGAATTGATCTAGCAATTGCACTTCCGGAAGCTTATTCTACAGAAAATGACGCTCACGTGAGAAAGGTACTATTTACTGTTAGTCATCATCAAACACCAGAAACAACGTAAGGACCCGTCCATACGGAACCGGTTAAGCCAGTGATGGTAAAACAGAATGGAATCAAGAAAGAAGAGCTCTGGGAAAGACAGGGAGACGGAGGCGCTGTCAACGGGGTAAAATTTCAGTTACGCAGGATGAGTCGGTGCCAGCGCCCTCTGTCCAACACTGGGCTGCAGGTAACAATCCCGTATTGCAGCAGTTAAGAGGGCAGATGGTAAGTGTTTAAACCACAAGAAAGACAATTTTACTGACTGGTCAATAAAACTAAGAGAATAGGGTTGGGCGCGGTGGCTCAGGCCTGTGATCCCAGCACTTTGGGAGGCTGAGGTGGGCAGATCACAAGGTCAGGAGTTCAAGACCAGCCTGACCAACATGGCAAAACCCCATCTCTACTAATAATCCAAAAATTAGCCAGGCATGGTGGCGGGCACCTGTAATCCCAGCTACTCAGGAGGCTGAGGCAGGAGAATCACTTGAACCCGGGAGGGGGAGGCTGCAGTGAGCTGAGATCATCCCACTGCACTCTAGACTGGGCAACTGAGTGAGACTCCATCTCAAATAAATTAATTAATTAATAAAAAATAAGAGAATAAAATCAGTCGAAGAGACAAAACACGAGGCCATAAATAGGGACTTAAAATACAAAGTAAATGAAAACCTTTTCTTCTGAGTTTATCATTTGCTCCACTGGCACAAAAAAACAAGGATGAAATAGACACATACACTTGCTTCCGTATGCACATTTCATGGGCAGAAAATTACATACAAGAAAGAGTCCCAGCTGGGTGTGGTGGCTCATGCCTGTAATCCCAGTACTTTGAGAGGCCAAGGCAGGCAGATCACCTAAGGTCGGGAGTTTGAGACCAGCCTGACCAAAATGGTGAAACCCCGTCTCTACTAAAAATAAAAAAAATTAGCCAGGCATGGTGGCACACGCCTGTAATCCCAGCTCCTTGGGAGGCTCAGGCATGAGAATTGCTTGAACCAGGGGGCAGAGGTTGCAGTGAGCCAAGGTTGTGCCACTGCACTGTAAATTGGGCAATAAGAGTGAAACTCCGTCTCAAAACAAAAAAAGAAAAAGAAAGAATCCCACAGGTTACATGTGTGAAGAGAACTGGGTGGGGGATAGCCAGGGAGGAAGACATTTTATGCTGTACTTTTCGGTACCTTTCAGTCTCACATATGAATGTGTTATCTAATCAACAAATAACAGAGGAGAGTATTTTTCTTTCCAGAGCAGTTTAGCTGCCATCTCTAACCCTGTCAGCTGGGGTCGTGTTACCACCTCACAAGGCTGCTGGAAGGTTAAGTAGAGGAGAGAGCATATGCAGAGCTGGCGGCATCAGAGAGAACCTTCAGCTGGTGCCAACGCTCATGGGTGTGAAACGTTTTTATGTCACCCTGCCTACAACACAAAAGATACTCAACAATATCTTTATTTATTGAGTGGTTGTGATTAACATTTGTATTCCCACCTCCTCCAGAAAAGTGGGAACAAGCTGTGGACACAGAGATGAGGCCCAAGGACAGAGTGACGGGAGGTGCAGGCGGAGGCTGCAGGCCGGAAGCTAGACTGACCAGGCAGCCTCTGGCAACGAGTCCTCCCCTGAGGAGTCCCCGTTGCCTGAGAGATAGAGCTTTCAACTCCCATACCTTCACCACGTTTATTTGTTTTATTATTATGATTATTTTGATATGGAATTTCACTCTTGTCACCCATGCCAGAGTGCAGTGGTGTGATCTCAGCTCACTGTAACCTCCACCTCCTGGGTTCAAGCAGTTCGCCTGCCTCAGCCTCCTGAGTAGCTGGAATTACAGGCATGTGCTACTATACCTGGCTAATTTTTGTATTTTTAATAGACGGGGTTTCACCATGTTGACCAGGCTGGTCTCGAACTCCTAACCTCAGGTGGTCACCCCCCTCGGCCTCCCAAAGTGCTGAGATTACAGGCATGAGCCGCCGCACCCAGCCCGTATGTATTTATTTTAAGTCACTATGGCATAAATCCTAGGAAATGCATCCAGAGGGCCCCACTTTCATGGGGTCCCAGCCTGTCAGAGAGTAGCAGCTTGGGCCTGATGCCTGCGTGCTGCTCCTCTGTGGCACTACGGCTGGAATAGAAGTTTCCAGAGCTGCTCAACAGTGAACTTCACAGAAGTTCAGAGCTGGAAAGGACTTCAGTGCCCATCCCAAGCCTCTCCAACTACAGGTGGAGAAACTGAGGCCCAGAGAGGGAGAGGGACTTGGTCAGGGCCGCTCGGGCTGTTAAGGGCAGAGCTGAGATGGCAAACCATGTCTCCAGACTTCCATCTCCACGCTCTCCACACGCTGCCTCCATCTGCCTTTTCCTGATTTAGCCAAGAACCACTGGAAGACCAGGGGCCACCTACCTGCGCTGACGTTTGTGGTCTGCCCCGTCCGGGCAGTGGGGGACATGGCTGTCAGGGGCTCCATCGGGGTCTTGGCTGAGGTGCTGCTGGTTCCTGGGCTGCTGCTGGCTGTAGTCGGATGGATAGAAGGAAGAGGGTCCCTGCTGGTGGGGAAGGGCCCCTTGGCTGTGAAGTCCATGGTGGTCTCTGACGGGGTGAAGTTCTGGGTGGTGGCTGCCTCCGAGGGGCTGTAGGCTGATGCGGAGGCCCCAGCAGAGGACGTCGTTTTGTCCACTGCTGACCCGGCCTCTGTGGAAACTGAAGCTGCCCCGGAGACTCTGACATAACTAGGTGTCTCAGCAGAGAGGGCTGAGGGCTCATCCAAAGGATTCCCGCTGACTGTTGTCAAGGCCCTGGGTGCCATCACTTCTCTTTCTGTGGCACTCTTGGTGGGGAGTAGGGTCTTAACCGTGGCATCAGGTGTGGCTGACTCTGTGGCGCTGGCTGTTGACGGGGTCTCAGCGGAGGCCGTGGCCTCCGTGACGTGTGGTTCTGTGGCAGTGGAGTCGGGCAGAGCTGGTGGATGCAAGGTGGGCGAGTCCTTCACTGCTGCTGTGGAGATGTGGTCTGTGTCTCGGGCCCCAGCGATGATGGAAGTGGCTGTTTCTATTTCTGGGATGCTGCAGTTGATAACCTCCATGTGGGTGACGGCCACCAGCGCTTCGGTGAGGACAGTGACGTCAGATGCGGGGGTCCATGAGGTGGTGATGGCTGGCCGGGAGCCGTGGGAAGAGGCGCTGCTCCCTGAGGACAGGCCCTCCGCTTCTGCGGAGCCGTGAGCCAGCGGCAACAGGGCAACAGTGAGTGTCTTTGCCTCTTCAGAGCTGTCATCGGTGCACAGGGTGTCAAAGACGATGTCCTCAGGATCACGGCCTGTGACGGTCTCAAGGGTGGTCGTTCCAGCTCCCTCGGGGCTGCCCCTGGTGACTGACGTCTCCAGGGAGGTGGCGATGACCACCACGAAGTCGGGAGGTACGATTTTTGTGACGATCCTGGTCTCTGTTGCAGGGGAAATGGTCTCGATTCCCCTGGTCTCTGCTACCGGAATGGGGCCGGCTGGGTCTGAGGTCCTTGAAGAGGTCTGGGGGCTCCGCGTTTGAGATTCTGAAGCAGCGTGGCTGGGTGCTGAGGTCTCAGTGAGGCCAGGGGTCTGGAGCGCTCCCTCTGAGCTGGGCCCGGCCCCTGCAGTCATCTCAGGTGCTTCTGTCATCGCATTTTCTGGGCTGCTGGTGCCAGGGCCTGTGGTGGTTAAGACTGACTCGGTGACTTCACGCAAGCGACTGTGTTTATACCCTGCGCACCTCTGGGAGGAGGGTGGGGACGGGCAGTGCTGTTACCTCGTTTTTCATCTGCATAAGCAAAGAAGGACAACCCACTTGGGGCCAGCAAGCCCCGGGATCCTGTGGTTCTCGGCCTGCGGCTTTGAGAAGGGATGTGTGGGGCCAGTGTCCGCCTTCCAGGGTGAGCCAAGAAGACAGAGCAGTGGCCAGGACTCGAGGAGCTTCTGAACCTGTGCCACCTTCCCGGGACACTTTTCTCATCCACCATACGCTTCCCCATGGAAGCAGAGTGATGGGGAGGAGCCGCCAGAGGCAGGGTGGGGAGCGCTGCTCGGAAGCCACAGAGCAGGCAGAGTCTTTGAGGCTCCGGCAAGTGAATCAGAGCACTCTCCGCCCTGCCGGGCCAAGAACCACAGGGCGGGAGCAGGAGAGCCACAGAAACTGGCCAGGCATTTCCCACATGACACACGGAGCCAGCTCAGGCAAAACCTAACTTTTCATTTATCTTTTATTTTTTATCTATTTATTTTTTTGAGATGAAGTTTCATTCTTTTTGAGCAGGCTGGAGTGCAGTGACGCAATCACGGCTCACCGCAACCTCCACCTCCTGGGTTCAGGTGATTCTCCCGCCTCAGCCTCCCAAGTAGCTGGCATTACAGGCACGCGCCACCATGGCCGGCTAATTTTTGCATTTTTAGTACAGATGGGGTTTCACCGGGTTGGTCAGGCTGGTCTCGAATTCCAGACCTCAGGTGATCCACATGCCCCGGCCTCTAAAAGTGCTGGGATTACAAGCGTTAGCCTCTGCCCCTGACCAAAAGCTAACATTTGAGAAAGGGGCTCCTGGCGCTTCTGCCTAGAGCAGAGGCCTGTTTCTTTAACTGGCCTGGAGGCCATAGGAACAGAGGGCTCTTTTTTAAAAAATGTATGTGATTAGTTTGACACAAGTATCAGTCACAGATCAGTGTTAGTTCCCGTCTTTCTCAGAAGCCCTGCCTCTCAGCATTCACCCTTCCCCAGCAGTCTGTGACAGTCGACCTTTTCGCACGAAATCTGTATTTTGAAGGAGATCCATGCTAGGTAATAAACTTCGAGGAGTTAGAATGTTGTTAAGCCGCATTCTTCAGCTGTCTGCAAAATGATGACCAGCCGGCCCCTCCCTGCACCCCGCTTCCTCGCCCACATTCTAACAGCAACCCCGTGCAATGGCAGCGTCACGGTTTATTTGTGTGTGCTGCGGCGCCATGCACGCTTACACTGATACAAACCAATTATTTGCACACTCTGAACAGTAATAGCACTTTATGTGTAGCACTGTGGCTCATTCTAATCATCCTGAGAGCCTACCCTGCCCAGGAAAGGCTGCCCATACTGAAATTCACTCCCGGAGCCCCACTAGGGAAGAAGCCCACCAGGAAGTCTGGCCTCCTTACCTGCAGCACTCCCAGAGACCCCAGCCTCCCAGCAGAAAAAGAAAAGGGGCAGAACCAGACCCCAGAGAGAGCCCATCCTAGCCAGGGCGCTGCCTGTCTCCGCAGACGGCCGGCCGCTTTTTCCTGCTTCCTTAAACCGGAGAGGAGGGGCAGCCTCCTGCCCAGGTGTGTGACTGGGGAGTTTCCGAGACGTAGCCAGATGATCAGAAACGTACAGGCAGGTTGGGGCTGTCAGCAAGCTAACCCCCCCTGCCTTCCTTGCCCAGTAATTTCTCCTCTGAAATTTGATTTGAAGATATGAAATCACTAGGTTCCTGTTGTTTTTGGTTTTGGGGTTTTTTTTTGAGATGGAGTCTCGCTCTGTCGCCCAGGCTGGAGTGCACAGTAGTGAGATCTCAGCTCACTGAAACCTCTGCCTCCTGGGTTCAAGCGATTCTCCTGCCTCAGCCTCCCAAGTAGCTGGGATTACAGATGCCTGCCACCACGCCTGGCTAATTTTGGTATATTTACAAAATGTCACCATGTTGGCCAGGCTGTTCTCAACCTCCTGACCTGAGCGATTGCCTGCTTTGGCCTCCAAAAATGCTGGGATTACAGGCATGAGCCACCGGGCCCAGCATGGGCACATTTACCCCTCCGTCTTGCAGCTGGGAAGGCCCAGTGTCTCACCACCAGCCCCTCCTGCGCCTGGAGCTTGGGTTCCTGAGCAGCTCTATAACCCAGGGCAAATTAAAGAGCTATTCTAAACCTTAATTTCCTGCTCTGTCAAATGGACAATCCCTACCTCACCAGGCTTTGTTGTGAGGATTACGTGAGATGGTAAAGCTCTTACAACGTGCCTGCGACAGTTGATGCTCATCAAAAATACGTATATCTTAGGTGCTCAGTGCCTGAGTGAGAGCCCTCACATCCAAGCACTGGGGAGAAGAGACGGCTTCCCCTGTGGGACAAGACTCCAGTTTATAACACCCTTCCATCTTCATCATCCCTTGATTCTGTATCCCAGGACCATGTTCGTCCCCCAGCCAGGCTGAAGGTACGGGGGTGGGGAAGAGACCGGCTGGGAAGAGGGAAAAGGCGAGTGTGCTCATTGGAGTCTCGGCCCAGGAAGAGAGGACACAGGAGGGTGATGGCTCACTGGAGACTCAGGGCCCAGGAAGAGGACGTGGGAGGGTGATGGCTCATTGGAGTCTCAGGGCCCAGGAAGAGAGGACGCAGGAGGGTGATGGCTCATTGGAGTCTCAGGGCCCAGGAAGAGGACGTGGGAGGGTGATGGCTCATTGGAGACTCAGGGCCTAGGAAGAGAGGACGCGGGAGGGTGATGGCTCATTGGAGACTCAGGGCCCAGGAAGAGGACGCGGGAGGGTGATGGCTCATTGGAGACTCAGGGCCTAGGAAGAGAGGACGCGGGAGGGTGATGGCTCATTGGAGTCTCAGGGCCCAGGAAGAGGACGCGGGAGGGTGATGGTTCATTGGAGACTCAGGGTCCAGGAAGAGGACGCGGGAGGGTGATGGCTCATTGGAGTCTCAGGGCCCAGGAAGAGAGGACGCGGGAGGGTGATGGCTCATTGGAGTCTCAGGGCCCAGGAAGAGAGGATGCGGGAGGGTGATGGCTCATTGGAGACTCGGGGCCTAGGAAGAGGACGTGGGAGGGTGATGGCTCACTGGAGACTCAGGGCCCAGGAAGAGGACGTGGGAGGGTGATGGCTCAGTGGAGACTCAGGGCCCAGGAAGAGGACGCGGGAGGGTGATGGCTCATTGGAGACTCAGGGCCCAGGAAGAGAGGACGCGGGAGGGTGATGGCTCATTGGAGTCTCAGGGCCCAGGAAGAGAGGACGCGGGAGGGTGATGGCTCATTGGAGTCTCAGGGCCCAGGAAGAGAGGACGCGGGAGGGTGATGGCTCATTGGAGTCTCAGGGCCCAGGAAGAGAGGACGCGGGAGGGTGATGGCTCATTGGAGACTCAGGGCCCAGGAAGAGAGGACGCGGGAGGGTGATGGCTCATTGGAGACTCAGGGCCCAGGAAGAGAGGACGCGGGTGGGTGATGGCTCATTGGAGACTCAGGGCCTAGGAAGAGAGGACGCGGGAGGGTGATGGCTCATTGGAGACTCAGGGCCTAGGAAGAGGACGCGGGAGGCTGATGGCTCATTGGAGACTCAGGGCCTAGGAAGAGAGGACGCGGGAGGGTGATGGCTCATTGGAGACTCAGGGCCTAGGAAGAGAGGACGCGGGAGGGTGATGGCTCATTGGAGACTCAGGGCCCAGGAAGAGGACGTGGGAGGGTGATGGTTCATTGGAGACTCAGGGCCCAGGAAGAGAGGACACGGGAGGGTGATGGCTCATTGGAGTCTCAGGGCCCAGGAAGAGGACGCGGGAGGCTGATGGCTCATTGGAGTCTCAGGGCCCAGGAAGAGGACGCGGGAGGGTGATGGCTCATTGGAGACTCAGGGCCCAGGAAGAGGACACGGGAGGGTGATGGCTCATTGGAGACTCAGGGCCCAGGAAGAGGACGGGGGAGGGTGATGGCTCATTGGAGACTCAGGGCCCAGGAAGAGGACACGGGAGGGTGATGGCTCAGCGAGGCTGGAGATTCAGCCATGAGAAGGGAAATGACGCTCACTAACATAATTCCAAACACCCTAGAGAAGAATCTTACCCCCTCAGTGTGCCGAGGACATGAACAGTTATGGCCACTGGCAAGTGGCCAGACAAGACAGCTTGGGAATTTCAGGGCAGGAGGCCTGAGGAAAGCAGCTCTGGGGTAGAAGAAAGCCTGTTGTATCTGCCTCAGGGACTCACATCTCAGAACCGCAAAGAACTTTAAAACTAGGCCGGGCACAGTGGCTCACGCCTGTAATCCCAGCACTTTGGGAGGCCAAAGTGGGCAGATCACCTGAGGCCAGGAGTTCAAGACCAGTCTGGCCAAGATGGCAAAACCCCATCTCTATTAAAAATACAACAAGTAGCTGGCATGGTGGTGCGGGCCTGTAATCTTTGCTACCCGGGAGGCTGAGGCAGGAGAATTGCTTCAACTTGGGAGGAGGTTGCAGTGAGCTGAGATGGTTCCACTGTACTTCAGCCAGGGCGACAGAGCGAGACTCTGTCTCAAAAAAGAAAAGGAAAAAAAACATCGGAAGGTCCAGGTTCCATTTCCATCTGTCTCCTTAACACGACCCAGGAGCTGTGTTAAGGTTATTTGCCCTCTCTGGGCAAATATGAACTGCAAGGTACTTTTGGCCCTGTGATCTGCGGTTCTGCATTGGGTGTGTTACTGTCTTCCAAAACTTTCCCCTGCCCTGGGCTGTGCTGCTGGGAAGAAGGAGGCCACGGGAGGAGGAGGACTCCCCAGAAGAGGCTGAAGGAATCCATAGAGGACAAAATCCAGCACTTGGGGTCACGATCTTGGACGCCATTGATCTGCAGGCTGAGCACCCGCCACTCAGCCCCAGCTCTTTGCTTATCAAATGAGACAAGGACTTCCCCTGGGAGGTGCCAGGTGGGGACGGGAGGCAGGGGCCATAGCAGGGACTGGATTCTCTAGTGGCTGTGATCCAGGGTGAGGCTTACCCCAAGAGAAGACAGAGAAGGGGCCAAGCAAGAATGCAGCTCCTTCCAGCCACCCGCGAGCCCTCTCAGCCCCACCCTGGCAGGGATACGGGCTTCCTCATTCCAGCAGCAGAAAAGTCCACAGGCCAAGGTTAACCTGCAGCCGGAGCCATTCAAATTGTCTTTTTCACCCCAGCTGGGACTCGCCCCTCCACTTCCTTTTTCTCTTTGTCACTGGAATGATCAATAGCTCACTCCAGCCTGCTGCAGATGAGGACGTGAGGATTTCCTTTCCTGGAAAGGACGCCTGGCTGAAAGCTTCCCTGGATTTGCTGAATTTTGTCTGGACCATTTTCCTTGATATTTGGGGAAATTTCCAAGCCTGGGCAGATGACTGTTGGCAGTGGGGGCCGTAACAGTCTTATGCAGACGTACTCCAAGTGCCTGGAGCAGTGTCTGGCATGTAGAAGGTATTCCACACATGTGTGCTAATTAATGAACTAGCTAGTAAAAGAGATCCCAGCCTTCACAGAACACTTTCCAGGTGAAGAGAGACAGCAAACTGTGAATCCTGAATAGCTGAGTCAGGTTTCAGTTAATTTAGAAAATTTACCTTGCCAAGGTTGAGGACTCGCATCCACGACACTGCCTCAGAAGGTCCTGACAACATGTGCCCAGGGCAGTGAAAGCATAGCTTGGTTTTATACATTTTAGGGAGACAGGAGACATCAATCAACATATGTCTGGTAAGATGAACACTGGTTCAGTCTGCAAAGGCGGGACACCTCAGAGCGAAGCAGGGAAGGGGCTTCTGGGTCTAGGTAGGTAAGAGAAAAATGGTTGGATTCTTTTGAGTTTCTGATTAGCTTCTCCAAAGGAGGAACTCAGATATGCATTTATCTCAATGAGCAGAGGGGTGACTTTGAATAGAATGGGGGGCCGGTTTGCCCTGAGCAGTCCTCAGCTTGACTTTTCCCTTTAGTTTAGTGATTTTGGGGGCCCCAAGACATTTTCCTTTCATATTTCTACCCTTTTCTTTTCAAAATCTTTTGGAGAAAGCATTTTAGGAGAAAATGAGTCTCTCATCTCAGGTTTCATCTGATCTCTATGGTTAGGATAGTTTATTCCTAGACCAGTGGGTCCCAAGTTCTTAGGGAGGTTCATATTTAGAAGGTTGTGAAGTCTCATGTCCTATGAAGGAAGAGAGAAAACAAACAAATAAATGAAAGAACCATCCTGGAAAATCGATATAGGCCACATTACTCTGAAGTCCATACATCAGTAGGCAGGTATGAAAGTGGCACATGCATGTAAATAGGTTGCTATTATTTCTTCTGAAGCTTAAGCTTCAGTTCACAGGGCTTTACAAAAGCACAGTTTAGTTTTCAGTGACTCAAAATGAAGAAAAATGGGGAAAAACAAATTAAAAAATTGAAAAGATTATTTTGAAGACTTGTAGCCAAAAAAATTAAAATCTGGTTCAAACTGTAGAAAATAATAAAAATTTTAAAAAATTAGTTAAGATTAGAATCTAACAACAGGGGTAGTTTTTAAAACAGAATTTTTGTCTCTCCAGTTTCTCATTTTTACCGAACACAAATCACGGTAGGACTGATTTCCTTTATTACACTTGGCCTGACTACCTGTATGCAATGCAGGAAGAATAGTCATTTTTTTACATAGGCTTTTAAGTTGGCTTTGATGGAACTTTGTTCCATAGAAGGAATCTCAGAAAGCACTTGTTTAAAGCTGATCCCTGCCATGGATTTGTACCATCAAATACCAAGGAGCTGTGTGAATTTCTCTCCTCTTGAGGCCCCAAGATAAAACTTGAGGCTCCTGGCTTGTCAGAAAGTGACATTCTTTACTTACCACAGGTCAAGAACCCTGCACAGG